AGCTCACAGCAACCTCAAACTCCTGGGTTCAAGTAATTCCACTGCATGGGCCTCCCAGAGTGCTAGGATTATAGGCGTGAGCCACTGCACCCAGCCTGGAATTGGCTTTTTTAAAATTTGCCGTTATTCTCTGGAATTTCATTTAGGCTGTTGTATGTGTCAGCAGTATGTTTTTTCTTCTTAACTAGTATTTCATGGAATGGAGTTACAATAGTTTGTTTAGCTGTTTACCCATTGAAGAACATCTGAGTTGTTTCTGGTTATTGGTTATGAATAAAACTGCTACAAATATTTGTGTACAGGTTTTTAGATGAATATAATTTTTCATTCCTTAGAAATAAATGCCTAGAAGTACAACTGCTGAGTTGTATGTCAGTTGCATATTTAGCTTTTTAAGAAACTGCATCGTATTTCCCATTTTATATTCCCATCAGCAGCAATGTGTGAGTGATGAGTTTTCTGAAGTTTTGCCATCATTTGCTATTGTCAGTATTTTTTATTTTAGCCAATTTAATAGGTAAGTAATATCTCATTGTAGTTTTAATTTGCACTTAATTAGTGGCTAACGATATTGAACATCTTTTTATGTACTTATTTGCCATCTGTAATTCCTCTTTAGTGTAATATTTTCTCCCTTTTGTTGATTTTCAAATCATTTTTGGTTTTGTCTTTACTGTTGAGTTTTGATAAGTTCTTTATATATTAGAAATACTTGTCCTTTGTCACATGTGCTCTGCAAGTATTTCCTCCCAGTCTGTAGCTTTCTTTTTATCTTCTTAACAGGGTCTTTTACAGACCAAAAGTTTTTATTTGATGAAGTTCAATTTGTTTTTCCTTTTATGGGTCATGCTTTTGGTGTTTTTGTCTAGCCCTGGATCTTGAAGATTTTGGTTTGTTTTTTAACCTAAAAGTTTTCTAGTTTTGTGTCTTACATTTAAATCTGCGATGCATTTTGAGCTAATTTTTCTATAAGGTGTGAGACTTAGGTCAAGGTTTATCTCTTACCTGTGCATGTCCCCTTGCTCCACATCATTTGTTGAAAAGGTTGTCTTTTCTCCATTGAATTGCTTTTGCACCTTGGTCAAAAATAAGTTGGGCATATTTACGTTGGTCGATTCTGGGTTTTCTATCCAGATCTATAATCTGCTACCACATCTATATATCTGTCTGGACCTCCACTGATACCACATAGTCTTGATTAGCATATTAACACAGGAACTCTTGGAATTAAGTTGACTGATTGCTCCTACTCTGTTCTTTTTCAGAACTATTTTAGCTATTCTGGTTCCTTTATCTTTTTTTTTTTTTTTTTT